ATTCCAGTGTCTGAAAGAGAAACTGCTTCCATCTGACCACCTCCAGGTGTCTCTGAACAGACCCATTAAAACAGCTGTATATCTTCCACCAGGACTGGATTCATTCTTCACTTCTTCATCCTGTAGCTGCTTCGTTCCACTGATCAGGTCTGTGTGTTTCTCTCTGCAGTAACTCTGAGCTTCTATCCACTTTTTATTTTCTTGAATCAAGTGGAATTTCTGGAATGAATTACTTTCTGTGTAAGAAACAAAATGTTAGCACCAACTTATCTAAATATTGTCCGGGCAAAGTATGACTTTAAATCAGAAAATGTAATACTAATATGTTCAAGAATTTAGATCAGGGGTGGGGAATCCAGATCCTTGAGGGCCGGTGTCCTGCAACTCTGAGATGTCTCCCTGATCCAACAAACTTCAGTCAAATATCTGGATCACCTCCTAAGTGCAGTCATGTTCTCTCTCCAGAGTCCTGCTAATGACCTCATTATTTGACTCAGGTGTGTTGAAGTACAGACACATCTAAAAGTTGCAGGACTCCGGCCCCCAAGTCCTGGAGTTGCCCACCCATGACTTAGATCAAAGATAGTTCAAATGTTTCCTATTTTAATAAATTGGAAGATTTTAGTCTTTTTCCTTTTACTTTTTATTACAACTTTCCATCTGAAATCCTGGATTTCCTTCCAGTCTTAAAACTCAAATATTCTCACCATTATAGCAGAGAAACTTTGAAGGTATGTTACAGGATTTGTCGTCCCACTTCAGGTTATTCCATAGGATTCCACAGTTCTGCATCCCTCCATAATCATTTGGCTCGTTTGTGTTCCAGTTTGTCTCACTTTCATCAAACTCCACTCCAGGCTGAGACCAGTACCATGTTCTGGTACCATGTGTTTGATCATACAGACCAATCCAAGCTTCCCTCTGATCTCCAGCTGAGATGTTGATGAGTCTCTTCATGTCCTTCATGTTAGTCACTGTGACCAGGTCAGTGTGTTTCTCTCTGCAGTACTGCTGAGCTTCAGTCCAGTTCTTTTCCTCTTTAACATAGTGATACTGATAGAGCTGACAGACAATCAAACAACATTGACCTGAAACAGCAGAAAATACTCAGTGGGGTTACATAGAACAGAAGTTACAGGAGGGCAAATACATCATCGACTTTATAACAATTACAATCAAAATGTTTTCATGTTACCATCTGGTGGTCTTTTGAGTGAAAATTAATCTGTTTTACCTTTATTAAGAAAATGTCAACAACCACTTTAATGAAGACACTTACCCATCCAAATCAGCAGAAACAGATTCCTCGGCATGTTTTCCATGTTAGATAGAAATGTTTTCTTTTCACTAATTTGTCTCTGTTGGAGAAAATATATGTGTAAAATCAAAAATATATATTTATTCGTGAAAAAAAAATCTTTTAGCAGCGTTGGCAATAAAACAAGACTCAAACACAGAGAGCAGGTGTTTCCGATTATGACTGCAAACAATTTTTATAAACAACTAAACAAGTTATGCATTTTATTTCACATTGCTGAAGTCAGCTTCTGTTAGAGTATAGAGTAGGAACCAAACAGTATTAAAATATTATTTCAAAAAAATCAAGATCATTGAGACGATAACTGCTATAAATTCCCTCTTACAGATACACACATGATAAAAACCTCATAAAGCAAAACAGGTTCAAAGTGAGAGCAGAGTAAAAACTTACATCTGGTTTATGTCATATTACGGAGATGTGAAAACAGGATGTCTGTGTTCTGCTGGAAGCAGAAGTCAATGTATGTTCAGTTTCACCTGACAGGGAGCTTTGGTACGGTAGAGGGATCATTTCAATATTCAAATACGAAAAAAACGGATCAGCTATTTGTTTTTTTGTCATATTAAAAACATGTTATTTATAAAGTTAAGGAACAGTATGTTTAACTTCCACTCGCATTTACAGTGAATAAAACATTTTATTGATGTGCATTTTACCTGGATTTAAATGTTCAGTCAATGCTTTGATATCATCCAGGAGTAATACTCCTGTTTGTTGGAGGAAGAGTTATACTCAGGAGTCATATGAAAAAACAACCGTGGTCTGTACTGACCCGAAGTTCTAACTGCTTTGTTGGAAATAAACAGATACATTAATATATGCCACTTATGGACTTATAGAAATAATTCTGGAATGTTTTTTTTTTTTTTTTTTTTTCACTGTGATTCACAAGGGGGGAAAGGGAGGAAAGGATGGTGATCATAAATTCACTACCAATGCTTTTTGTTTGGGACCAAGAACCGAGGTTGTGGTAGTCATACACTGGATTATTTATTTAGGTAAAGCAATACAAAGATACATGAAATCAAAAAGAAAAGTCTGGAGAACAGAATCCATGACAACCTTTGGAGGGACAAGATCAAATATTAGCAACAATAAGAGAGAAGCGCATCATCTGAGTTTTTCAG